GGTCAAGAGATCTTGGGAAAAGAGTAAAGATTAAAATATGGGATAATTTGCTTAATAACCAAGAAAAAAAAAAGCAAAACTTAATTACTAACTAAAAATTACCTATATGTGGCAAAATTATGGCATTTGGATCTAGGATTTTTGGTTAGTAATTAAATTTTATTTATTTATTTTGGTTATTAAGCAAATTGTCCCTTAAAATTCAAGCATTTTGAAGAAAAGAGAATCAGAAAAATGGAGAGAAGGAAAATCTTGTGCACACATTACATTGCCCTTATTTTATTCGTTCTCCACGACAAAACCAATCAAATATTTCTTTCATATAAAGCAAATGAATTCGTAAGAACAGAACAGAGATACAGTAGTGTAAACCCATACAAAGACAAACTTTACAAATTACAAATAGTCTAAAGCTATTTGTCTGTCTCATTCAAAACCAGAATTTGGTGTATGAAACAACCACAAGTTCATCAAGCGAGGAGATGATATATAAAAAAGAAATGGTAATCAACTGTGGCTAGAAGGAATTCCAGTTATCTGACTTTTTCTTGGGGCTTTTATCATCCGAAGAGACTTTGAAGGGACCTGTGGAACCAAACGGGTCTGCATCATCAAACGAGTATCCATGACTGCCACTGAAATCTTTTGTACTATTCATGGAGTCGAATCTCGAAAGCGAGGGACCACCAAAGTCTCTGCTACTGTTGATGGAATCGAACCTCGAAAGTTTCTCAGCTCCAGCAAAGTCTTTGGAACTGTTAATTGAATCGAACCTGGAGAAGGCACCTCCACCAAAGTCTTTGGAGCTGTTGATGGAATCAAACCGAGACAGTCTCTCGGGTTGGGAGGAAAAACCGGCACCAGCTTCACTGGTGTTGAAGGAGTCGAATCTGGAGAAGCTATCAAAGTTATTGTCTCTGGCTGAGGCATCGCTGAACCGAGGTGGAGAGTTCCCAAATCTTGAGAGTGGAGTGCTGGGAACTGAATCATCAAATGCAAATGGACTCTTTCTCTGACCCGCATAGCTTCTTGAACTTGGGGAATCTGCTCTTCCTGAGTTTCCACCAAAATCACCACCAGATCCAAAATAATCTCCATCCTGCGAATGTCGATATTTAAAATGCTAAGCTTGGTTAAGAATCTAAAAAAGTAACTAAATGATTCAGCAGACAAAGGCAAATGTACCATCCCAAATCTGAACGCATGATTTTAAATCACAAAATCTTGTATAACGTAAAGAATGAATTCAATGTTTATTCAATAATCACAACTGAAAGGTTGATTCAGTATTTCGATGGCTGGAGTGATTTGTTATAATGAGAGACACTATGGATTCTGTACTAACCTGGCTTTTTGATGCATCAAATCCCCAGACTGAATCCACATCATCGTTAGTGTCAAATGCACTTGCCCAGTTCGAGTCATCAAATCCGTGAGAATAATCTGGAGATGGGATCTCAGTAGCACTCCTAGAGACAGGACTGTCTCTAGGACTTCTCCCTGATTCATCTTCACTGTGAGTACTCCTATATTCACTCTCATGGTGGCGGTCTGAGGTTTCTGAAAAAGGTCCATAGTTCTCATCTAAATGAGTCGGCGAATCAGGTGGTCCGCTACCATCATCCACGGTACCGTTTTCCTTCTCAACAGACGAGTTTTGCTCTTTTGATTTGTCAAAAGTAATCTCATTGCCAAACCCTAATAGTGGGAGGATAATCACTTAATGTCCTTGTACTGTGCTTAACTAGAGATATCTAAATTGTATTTGTAATAGAAAGATAGGAAAAAAACATGGTACCTTCATCTTCAAACTTATCCCATTCTTCATCCCAAAGAGCTGCACCTTCTTGAATTCCAGGTTGCCAGCCTGTAAGAGACGACATTAACAGTTTCCAAATGATATTATTGTTTTAAAAATACATGTAATTTGCATTCGTTACTGTGAAAGAAAGACGTCACAAGGAAACATAATCATATATAGTACCAGCTGGAAGGTCTACAAGGGCCTTCGACTTAACCTCCACTCCATGTTTCTTGCAACGTTCAGTTAAAGCCTTCATCAGCTCCTCTAGATCTGATTGAATTCTGTCAGCCCGGACCTAAAATATGCCCAATAAAACATCAAATTAGATATGTACAACAGATAATCAATAGTTTAGGCATCACATAAACATAGAGAATAGTATGTACCTGAAGGAGACCATCAGCACTACCACCTTGCTCCATGTTCACAATTGCTTGACTCAACTCCATCTTCCGCCCCTGGAATGTGTTAACAAAACTTCAATAAGTACAAAATTCCATGCGAGATGTGTTGCAAAATTATTCGAATCCCCTTCACCAACAAAGGTGGAAGAAGAGAGAATTGGGCCATAGAATAAGGGGACAGGACAAGACGCACAACACAGCCCAGTGAAAGAGAAAAGAAAGAACAATGATGAAGTTTGGAATGAAGAAAAAATATACTGCTGGAATGTACATTAGGTGTTGCCACTTTATGTGGCAGCCAAAGGAATAGTCATACCTCAATCTCGCGGAACCTGGCCTCTTCAATGGTTAGTTTTGACCCTATTTCAGCAACTTGTTTATACTTCTCCTCGTACTTCTTTGCCAATGTTTCAGCCTGCAGCAGAAATTGTTCTTGATAAGACAGAAATAGCCTCTGAAAAAATGAGAAGAGAGTTTTTTGATGTGAAAAGCACCTCACGCTTGTCAGCGGAAGCCCTTTCAGAGATCTCATTTAATCTATTGTCACACCTGCTTTTGTACAAGACCTGACAGAGAGAGGAAAAATAGAAAAAAGTGGCATCATAAGAATTGGATCTTAGCACAAGAACTTTACTCTCTGACACATGTATATATAATCTACAAATAAGATAATAGATCAAGCTGACGAACTAGCTCTAGATAGCACATAGCAAAGCCTCAAGTAGGAAATGTGCTCCCATACGATAATGTCAGAGCTTTAGGGAGAACAACAATATCAAACTTATAAGACCATTACCTAGATAATATTCAAGTTCCGGCTTAATCTAGATGGTCTGATTCCAGTACATTTCTTATCCATAATGTTCTACAAACTTTTTGAGATAAAAAATTAACTAGATAGCCTCTCTCTTTCAAAAGAGCTAACAATCTTTTCAACGATTTAATGTATCCATGAGAAACCATAAATATTAAGTTGCAATCTCTTGGCTGGTGGTGACGATCAAGATCATTTCTCACTTCTCAAAATAACAAGAGTAATCTATAATGGAGTACTCACAATATCCTGCATTTTCGTCCGGTAGTAATCAAGTTTCTCCCTGGAGTCCATATACACATTCTGCTTTTCCTCAACCTACATATATTAGAAAAAGATTATTTCACAAGCATCCAAGAAAATGCACATTGAAATGTAACTCATCTAAGCCTCTCAGGATAATTTTTTGTGCATAATTAAAGTGAAAATATAAATGATTACCTTTTCCTCATCATCTGCTGATTCTTGAAGCTTCGTTCTCGCAGAATATCCGTTATCTAGGTGATTGGCAAAAGGATCATCTAAAGCTGGCGCTTGATTCCTTTTCTGATTAGGTGCTACACCACTGCCAGGATGAGGGACTGGAGTAGGAGCTGGTGGTCTCATACCAGTCGGTGGAGTGATTGGCCGCGGACCCATCACTGGCTGCTGACCATAGCCTTCCAATAGAGAAATTTGACTTAAAGAAAAGTATCAGGGGAAGGGAGAAAATTAGTAAAATACTTGAAAATCTGAGCAATACCTTGACCAGACCCCCATCCAGCATTTGCATAACCCTGACTAGGTGCGCCTGAGATAGATAATAGAGTTTCATCAAACATGATGCTGCTAGGAAGTGCTGTCGGGAGAGGACGGCCTTCTCTATACCGCTCCATCAAATACAATGAAATGCAGAACTCCCTCAGAGAAAGCATAGTATCATTATCCTGATCAGATAATTCCCACACATGCTTCAATACCTCTGGAACCGAGCAAAAGGAAAACGTTAGCATAAACACTTCATAGCATAATCACTTGCAGATATTGTTGAGGGTAGCAAATTAATATAAAATAACAGAACATGATATGTCCCATAAAGAAAAGAGACGAGAAAAATAGTTTCAAAAAGATTCTTCAATCCAGAATTGCCACTAATGTCAACAGAGGCGACAGTTCATTTAACAAACGAACGGAGAAGTTATTTTCTTCATGTAACGTGGACTGAAAGATCAAAGATCCTTACCCCTGGGTAGCCTCCAGCTTAAAAACAGATTTTTTGCCTGCTCACCAGTGATTTTCCCATCCTTGTCACTATCAACTTCCATAAATACCTTTGTGTATTTCTGGACATCGGATGGTTTCATTTTTGGCCATGGAGGCTGATTATTTCCAGCAGGAGTTGATCCAACTGCACTTCCAGGTGGCAAACCAGAGGATGGACCTTGTGAAGACACTGCAGGCTGTGAGCTAGCTGCTGGCCTTGGCTGATTTCCTGTAGGTAGCATTGAGAAAGTTTTCTGTAGAGAGTCGAGAGCATTAGGCTTTGGTGGAGGTTGGGTTCCAGCAGAAGTAGGAACAATGGCTGAACTGATTGAAGAATTATTCAGAGTGGGTTCTTGTTTTGGCTGGAAGGAGGAAAACATGTCACTTCCATTTCCAGATACGACCAGCGCTTTTGGATCAATTTGTGAGTCTGGCTTTAAGCCAGGAGAAGGTGCTGCTAAGCTGCCCCCTCCAAAGCCTGATGAGTATCCACTAGTGTTTGCAGCATACAAATTATTAAGATTGAACGTTGAACTACCAGGACCAGATACACTTGTGGGAACAGGCTGAGGAGGACGAGAAACACTACCAACAGGAACTGGTTGAAATTGACCTGGTACGGCACTTGGTCTATATTCTGGACCAGCAGTAGGTCTAAGTGAAGTCAGCCCAGATATTCCTTGATTTGGTCTCACTAATTGGTTTTGTTGAGGTGGAAAATAATTCTGATTGACATTCACATTTGGAGCCCCTGGTCCTCTAACTGAGGAAGCTGGACCGACCGTGGTAGCAGTAGGATTAGGTTGTGGAGCAGGAATAGCTGAAAGATTAATCTTGGGCGGTGGTATTTTGGCTGCTGCAGGAGTATTCAGTGCTGCATTAACAATCTCAGGTGTCAGGTCTCTCTTGCTCTGTGCTACTGTTACAAGTCTCAGAGAATTATAAAAGTCTTCCCGACCAAGGAAACCACTGCGTGACCGATCAGAAAGCGACCATATCTACAAATACAGAACACAACTGGATCAGTGGACAATTTAAAATAGCAAACATCGCTCAATAGAACCCATCCAGGAAAATTGCATGCCAGAAATTTTCGAGATTCAAATACATAGTTACTGGTACATCAAAAAGGAAAAGCTTATATCCACAGACATGTACTATACTGTGAATTGATAAAAACCTGCATTCCTGGAGAATACTCTTAATATGCTAAAGGAACTCTCCATCAACAAGACTAAAGAAACATAGCAATAAAGTAACTGACAGTATAACAAATCAATTATCCAATTTCTACAGGTTATGCAACAATGACATCCTCACGTAGAGGCTGCTAAGTTCGAGAAAAACCAAAACCAGTGCCCTTCCTTTATCAGTGACTATTCTAAAAACAAACTGCAAAAGGTTTAACAAAGTATAGCTTCACCGAAAGAACACTAGCTGACTTAACAAAACAGAAAACAACAATCTGAGATTATTCTTAACAGTTTTTCTACCAGTAAATGCCACTAAGTTTCCTCCGTAGTTGCAATGAGATTTCAACAGTCCAGCGTCCAACATAAAATATCAAAGGTTACCCTAAAAATCCTACTGTCATACACTTATAACTTCTCCACAACAGATCCTAGCAAAGGTAGTTCTTATAAAGCAAGATCCTAAAGGAGGAAATAGAAGACAGCTCCTCAAATCTTCCCCCGTAACTTCTTATTCAGTTCATAGGCTACTCACAATCTCAGAATCTAGTATGCAATTCAAATGGAAGAGTCAAAATTACGGCATTTCGAAACCCAAATCAGCTGCGTAGAAAACCAAATCAGATCTTTCTCTGGATAACTAATAAAATCTCCCCAGAAACAATCAGGAAACAAAAGATCCAAGCAGAAATTATACCTGGGCGAGAACTTGTTTAGGCAAACCAGATCCTTGGAAAAATCCTACAGCTTCCGCTCCACTGATCCGACCATCTCCATCCAAATCTGCTCTCTTAAAGTACGCTTCGAATTGATTCATGTTAGGATTCTGACCCGCCATTTGAAGGGATCACCGGAGCTAACCCAAAACTTAGATCAGAGCTTCGAAATCGATCAAAATCCTATCTCCAGATTTCTCTCTGTCCAGACGAGGATTCCCCGATTCGAACAGATAC